GCTCCCCGCTTACTCCAGACTTCGTACTAAAAGGGAGGGGGTCTGGACCCTCCAAGACGAACACAAGGGGGGAACTACGACGAGGCGACGAGGAACAAGAAAGAAACGCAGGGCTCCTGCTGGACCGCGCGCCCTCAGTGACGCCGTTCTCTGAGCCCGGCGGCAGCGACCGATGGCCTGTGAAACGAACAGATGGATGGGGGTACTCCAGATTTCGTACTAAAAGGGAGGGGGTCTGGACCCTCCAAGACGAGCCATTTCAGACCTCCCCCGTGGGAGAGCCCTCCAAAACATCGTCCCCAGGCCCCCCCAGGCCCTCCAAGATAGCCTGGAAGCGACCCCCCCCCCGAAATGAGACCCCCTCCCTTTTATTACGAAATCTGGGGTAAGGTCGCGCGTAGGCGCCCTCGTTTCCTGCGTGGCGTGCCGCGCTGGTGGCCCGCGTAAGCCACCGCAGGAGCTCGCTAGGTCGTCTCGCGTGAGACCCGTGTTCTTTCGTCGCTCAGCTGGCGCGGATCTGAAGCATCCCGCCGTTGTCCGCGGGCTCGTCCTCCTCGTCCGCGTGCCTCCTCCCCCAGGGGGAGGAGGAGGACGAGGAGGATGAGGAGGAGGAGGAGGAAGAGGAGGAGGAGAAGGCGGATGAGGACGAGGAGGAGGAGGAGGAGCAGTGTAAACCCAAGACTCATCAACGATGTTGGAGTCAACCCTCCCTCCAAGTTCCCTTGTCATAGGCCCCTACAAGGGTTCATTTCCACTGAGGGAACTGCCTCGTTCTGGGGAGTCCAACGCCACGGATCAATCTGACTGATGCGTTTTGATGAACCTGAATCGTGCCAGAACACCACTCCTGGGACTTCAACACCGCGAACCAACGTAACTGTTGCACCCTCTCAATCCAGAATCCTTCCCAAACACCAGTTCTTGCACGTTGACCATGGGAATCCGTGAACCCTTGCAATGTTTTAAAACGAATGCGCGCGGCGCTAAGGCGAGAGCCACATTTCGAAAACGAATCTCCCTCAATCCGTGAAGCTCCTGCATGTTTTAAACGAGTGTGCGCGGAGCTAAGGCGAGAGCCACATTTTGAAAACCGCCCGCCCTCAATCCGTGAAGCTCCTGCATTTTTTAAACGAATGTGCGCGGCGCTAAGGCGACAGCCACAATAAAAAACGACCCGCCCTCCATTTGTGAAACTGTTACAATGTTAAACCTTCAGGTTCATCGATGGTGAGGAAGCATCAGGCGAAACGCCGGGCCCGCCCTTTCGACCTGCCTCGGGGTGCGACAGGGAGGAGGTATCTTATAAGGAAGAGGAGTGGAGGATGAGGAGGAGGAGGTGGAGGAGGAGGAGGACCCATTTCCTTCAATTCCTCCTTCCGGCGCCAACCCGTCGGGCCTTCGGGCACGCGCTCTCTGTCGATGGCAGTGCTCAGGTCAGTCGACAACTTTCTGATCTTAACGGGCGAAGAGCGGTATGGAACAAACTTCCTCGCCGTCGGGGACGCCTGTCCCAGGGCGGCTGGCGTCCCCGACGGCGAAGCACATTTCCTCAGTGCGGCAGCTTCCGCCAGCTTCCGCAGGCAGTGTGAAGAGGTATACGCTCTCCCTCCTCCTCCTCCTGCTCCTCCTCCTCCTCCTGCTCCTCCTCCTCCTCCTCCTCCTCCTCCTCCTCTTCCTACTCTTCTTCTCCTCCTCAGTGCGGCAGCTTCCGCCAGCTCCCGCGGGCAGTGCGAACATGTATACGCTCTCCCTCCTCCTACTCTTCTTCTTCTTCTTCTCGTCCTCAGTGCGGCAGCTTCCGCCAGCTTCCGCAGGCAGTGTGAAAAAAGTTATACGCTATCCCTCCTCCTCCTACTCTTCTTCTTCTTCTTCTTCTCCTCCTCAGTGCGGCAGCTTCCGCCAGCTCCCGCGGGCAGTGCGAACATGTATACGCTCCTCCTCTTCCTCCGATTCTTCTCCTCCTCCTTGTGGCTGCTCCCGCGAGCTTCCGCAGGCAGTGTGAAAAGGTATACGCTCTCCCTCCTCCTCCTACTCTTCTTCTTCCCCTCCGCAGTGCGGCAGCTTCCGCCAGCTTCTGCAGGCTGTGGTGGGGAAGTGCACACCCCCACCACAACGAAACCTCCAGAAAGTCTTAATATCAACACAATGCCCCCCGAGCATGCTCCTCGAAATTCCAGCCCTATGCCGTTTGGCACAGGGCTAAAGTTTCGAAGACCATGCTCGGAGGGACATTTTTTTGTTCGAAGAGGCTGGCAGAGTAAGGGTACAGCTTCAGCAAGGAGTGCAAGGACGGAGTGCGTATATTCATGTAGAGACAGAAATCATATACTATTAATGATGAAGGGAAGGTTGCAAGCTCGTAACAAACCTCCTGGAACAACGAGGGACTCAACAATCCCCCAGCCTCGAGGAGGAGGAAGAGGAGGGGGAGGAGGAGGAGGAGGAGGAGGACGAAGAGGAGGAGGAGGAAGAGGAGGAGACGGAGGAGGAGGAGAGGTGTACTATACTATACGACAGCGGCCAAACGCCAGTCGTGGGTCAGCTAGCCCGCCGCCTCGAGGTCCCAGGCGCTGTCGCCTCCAGACTCGGAGGCCGACTCGAAGGCCTCCTCCGCTTCGGAGAGGAGGCGCGCCCTCCAGGGGCTTCTGCCAAGGGGAGGTCGGCGTCGGTCAAACAAAGAGCGCCCAGCCTCCTCCTCCTCCTGCTCCTCCTCCTCCTTCTCCTCCTCCTCCTCCTCCTCCTCCTCCTGCTCCTCCTCCCTCCTCCTGCTCCTGCTCCTCCTCCTCCTCCGCCTCCTGCTCCTCCTCCCTCCTCCCTCCTCCTCCTCCTCCTCCTCCTCCTCCTCGTCTCCTCCTCCTCCTCCTCCTCCTCCTCCTCCTCCTCTTCCTCCTCCTCCTCCTCCTCCTCCGCTTCGGCGGGCTATCGGTCCAGAGTTCCGCGCTCCCCACGCCCCTGGTCCCTTGACCCCCCGCAGAGCTGGGGCCGAGCACACTCGCCAAGCGCCCTCGCATCTTCCTGGGGAGCCCTTCAACCCAAGGTCTCCTGGAGCCCTCTCTTCGTGGATCCAGGGCCCAGTCTTTCAGACCCTGCTTCTGCCACGGCCGGCGTCGAGCTTCGAGTCTCCGCAGCTGCTCGCTCAGACCACGGCACGGCCTGAGACGGGCCCGGGTGGGCTGCGGCCCCGGGCGGACGGTTCCGCAGGCGCAGCAAGACCTCAGGGCCATCCCGTCCTCTCTGCGCGACCTGGCCGTCACACGCGCGTTCAAGAGAGGATGTCCGTTGAGGATGCCCGTTGAGGATGCCCGCAGAAGTTGTACACCATGTCCCGAAAGTCTTCCCACCCCTCGGCGGGGCCCTGGGATGGGGGTATCGAAGAGGCCTTGTTCAGGAGCCTCCGAAAGGGGCCCTGTTGCAAGGCGGCAGGCGGCGGATGAGGAATGCTGTCAGCCAAGCGCGAGGTCTCATCAGCCTCGCGCTGGCTGATGAAGGCATCCATCAGATCAGTGTGATCAATCGCCTCCGCCCCGTCCCCACCCCCGCTCCATCTAGTGGCCTTTCGGGCCAGCTCTACCAGGCCTCGCCAGCGGTGGCAGGCAGACTCACACACTCCGTGCTACTTGGCTCCCAGCTTGGCAAACTTCTCTGCAGCATCGTTTCCTCGCTTCTCCCAGTGGGTGCTGACGCCATTCTGCTCACCAGCTAAGCTGCAGTGGGCCTTGGTTTTGTGTGCCTCCAAATCGTTCGGCTCACCCGCTGCCCAAAACTTGGATCACATGTGGGCCCTAGGGTTACTGACTCCCGAGCCCCCCACCAGGGCCTGCCCACCAAGTCGAAACCTTGGCCCTTTTAGTCCGTGTGCAGCTGAAGCCGAGGCATCGCCGCCTGGCAAGGCATGCTGACAGCAGCAGCCTCCGCACCTCTGGCCGTCTGGTAGGGGGCCGTGTCCATTGGCACTCGGGCCGTGCGCGGCCGCCTGGACTTACCCGAGTCGGTCACGCACGACAGCGGACCAGCCAGCTCGGGACAGTGGCCGCGATCCTGGGGACGGCGCGGGCCCTTCCAGGATCAGAGGCCCCGAGAGTTTGCCGCGCAATGTGGCCGGGCTACTCCGATTGGCAACAACGGACACGTGGGACACCGTGATATCTGGCTTTGCAGAGCAGTGAGTAGCATGGCTTACTCGCCTTTGGTATTCTATGCACTGCTATCCCTTCTCCTTCTCCCCTCCATTGTTTCACCTTCCTCATTCAGCGGCGCCCCGGTGCCCCCCTGCTGCGCCCACCCGACGCCTAGACGCAGGTCGCTGTTCACTGTTTGGGCCTCTGATGCCAAAAAATCTGTTGCCAGTCTTGACTGGGGCCAGCCATGCGTCGCAGGGAAAAGCGGGCGCGGGTCTGGAAACATCCTCTCAGCAACACGCACTGTCCTGCTTCAAAGGGCCACGCCCTGGCATTAGGAGCTCTCTGCGTGAGACCCTGCGACACCCTATCCCGCCTGAGCACAGCATGCTGGTCGCATTTATAGCACCTGTGACAGATCGACCAGTCAGGGTCTCCACAGAGGGTGGATTCAGGGATATCCGCAAGGCCGTGTTTACACGAGCGGACCTGGGTCAACCAAGTTCTTGACAGGAGGGCCCTAAGGGCCCGCTGCTGATGTAAAGACCAGTGGGCCGAAGTTCCGTGGAGCAAACAAGCCAGCCCAGACCAAAAAAACGGCAGGACCCAGGGAGGAGATTGTGCGGCAAGAGTTTGCCTGTCATACTCACGCCTCACGCCATCCTCCGCCAACTTCCTGATGAGCACGGGGCTGGGACGAACCATGTTCTAATTGACGTCCGTGTCAGAACTCACCACTTGCACCGACTCGATCTTCCAAGAGATCCCTTGCAACATTCAGATCGCCACGTCAGCAGGAGACGCGGCCGCAACCCATGGTCTGGCAGACGTAGCAAACCTTTCCAGGGCAACTTCAATCTGAGGCTTGGGGTTCCCTTCCCA